GTCTGACTAATGACTAAGGCATGCTTTTAGGACCGCAGATTGGAGACGAAAGAACTCCTCCATTCCTGGCCAAGCCACGATGTCAGCAGAGTTCAATCCTCCGAGCACTCGGTAGGTATCTGTGTGGACACAGTCCACGCGGCAAGCATAGATGCGTGCGGAGGCTTCGATGGTGCAGCTGGCCTCTGTCCACAGTCGGAGTTCTAGCAAATGATTTTCGCAGAGATAACGGCAGCATACGCGCGATATGGATATGATTCGTCACCTGAGACAGAGCATCATAAAGGTTGTCGTCAACATCACCAGCAGCACATATTATCTTCACCATCATCATCATCATCATCATCCTCATCCTCATCGCCATCACGTGAACACCCTCGTCGGAATCACCATCAAGCATAATCCTAAGTCAGCATGCAAAATAACCGTGATCCTCGATTCTAAGCGTGCATAATCCATAAAGCAGTGTGCGAATCATACACTCAGTTTCTTGCCTAAGGGCGACTCAAGCGGTCACCTTTGAAACGAAAATGCAAAGGGTTTCGCTTCTGCAAGGAACTCGATGCATCCAAATAGGCAGCTCTCACCAGCCCGTCTTTGCACCAACCCGGTGCCAATCGTTTCTACTCTACATGCGCCGACATCACGAGCATCAGAGGGTTTCGGCAGGGGCGCTGCCGCATGACCAGCTGTGAACGCCAGCGTCCTCAATCGAGCATCGCACATGTGTGGCTCTGTGCCACTGACCGTGCATTATTGGAGCCTGGCTGGTCTGGTGGCCTGTCCAGGGCCTCACCACTGGCGTCCGTGGGGTCGTTGGGCTTCCAACTGCCCGGGGTCTTTTGGGTCGCAAGGCACGTTCTATCACAACAGCCGCGCCTAAGTGCGTTGCCCGCCTCCGGGCACAGCCGTCCAAAAAGCACGTAAAAACAACTTTCATATCTCACAGCACTGTCATCAAGGCGGCTACATCGCGGTTTCGGGCCTCAGAACCAGACAGTATTCACATTCCTTTGCACCTTGAATTTGAACAGACAATGTTCGATTGGCGACTGGCTTCGTATGTCTAGGGCATGATATAGTTCAACCGGCTATGTCGCAGAGTTAAGTAGCGTCTGATGCACCCTTCGGAATGCCCCCCACCCTACACGCTGAAAAGCACGGCCTCGTGGAATCTGCTCTCGAGCTCAGCCTCTTCCGGGTTCGGTGGAGCGGATTTCCGATCCCGGGTGCCCTGTGGACGGCCTGGGCTCGAGGTAAAAGGACCAAGGGTTCTAAACCTCGGTCTTGGGCTTCAGCCTGTGGCAGGGACCAGAATGGAGCGTTGAAATTTTGTATTGTAGCGTATCAATACGCTGGGGAGGGAGGCTACAGCCACGATGCTGACTAACACATTGAGCCGGCTTATCGCCTTTAGTTCGTGGATCTGCACAAGCATGTTCCTGCAAAACAATTCCTGGTTGATGCAGCAGTGTGTGGTTTCTTGCGCATCAAGCCGTAGCAACATGTCAGTCTGAATTCGACACTATGGATGTCCGACAGGCAGTCAGAGCTCCATAACGCAGCAATATCAGCCATCTAAGCATCATTCAAACGACAACGACAACAACAACGACGACGACGACAACAACAACAACAATCACAACAAAAACTGAAACCGCAAAAACACCACCAGCTCCACCAGCAGCAGCACCACAACAACAATGACCATCAGCACGAACACAAGCACCAGCACCAGAACCAGCACCAGCATCAGCTCCAGCTCCACCACCACCACCACCACCACCACCAACAACAACAACAACAACAGCAACAGCAACAGCAACAGCAACAGCAACAGCAACAGCAACAGCAACAGCACCAACATCAACATCAACATCAACACCATCAAAACCACCACCGCCACCACCGCCGCCACCACCACCACCACCACCACCAACAACAACAACAACAGCTGCAGCAGCAACAGACAACAGCTGCAGCAGCAGCAGCAGCAGCAGCAGCAACAGCAACAGCAACAGCAAAAGCAACAGCAACAGCAACAGCAACAGCAACAGCAACAGCACACACACCACCACCAGCACCACCAGCACCACCAGCACCACCAGCACCACCACCACCACCACCACCACCAACAACAACAACAACAACCAACAAGACCAACAATTTCAATTGGACGCTGCGCGAGCCCAACAACAACAACAACAACGACGACAACAACAACAACAACAACAACAACAACACCAACAACAACAACAACAACAACAACAACAACAACAACAACAACAACAGCACCACCAGCACTACCATCACCACCACTAACCCATAATCATGGTACTGATATAGTATGGGCCGTCTTACTGCAAGTTATACTACCAGTATTGCTAGCAGCAACAGTTGTCGCCGCCGTCCAAGGGTTGGGCAATAGGAATGCGGTGTTAGAAGAAGCGAGACCCTACCTCAAAATAGAAGCCGGCCCAGTCGCTCTTCGTTTTAGTTTTTCTGCCGCCCATGAAGGAGTCCACAATGTCATCCATGTGCTCGATGAGCGGGAGTTCGAAAGCATTCTTCGTAGAGATCTTGTTTTCATTCACCTGCAGATGGAACTCACGCACTGCCCTCTGGAAGACCGTGATCTCATGTCTAGAACTCTAGAGGTTGTGCAGCAAAGGCCTGAAAACCACGAGTCTTGTGCAGCCAAGCAACCAATTGCACGCATTTTGAATAGAGCTCACCCAAAGAAGAGCCACCGATACTCGCCATGTCGGACTATGCCCCCTCTTCCTACTCACACTGACTGTATATTCCTGCGAAAATGCGGCGGCCACTTTGGCTTCAACTCAGGCTCTCAACAGTCAGATGTGCTTGGACAGCGAACATGAACTAAAACATAGGAGTCGCTCCGGTCAGGGCAGCTCGATGCAAAAGCAGGACAATGACCTTGTCAGGACCTCAAAGGTCGCAAGCTTGGGGCCTCACCACACAACCCAGAAATCAACAGTTGTGTAATGCCATTACACCTTCTTAACTATGCTTAACTCTCTGAATATGAACCCAAACACCCACACGCACAAACACAAAGAGAGCATCGAAACTAAAAGCCTGCATGAAGCCCTGGCTCCTGGTCGTTGTCTAGGCGAGGCCTGAATAAAGAGCTCACAGGCAGGCAGGCAGCGTGCAGATATGTATATGAGCAAATAAAAGAATAAAAAGCTGCGTGCATAATAATGTCTCTATACATATATATGTATATATATATATGTATATATATATATATATATCATATGTGGATATCTATACATAAATACACATCTATATATATATATATACACATGTATATGCAGGTACGTATGTTATACGTATACACGCACATACATACATACATACATACATACATACATACATACATACATACATACATACTTACATACTTACATACATACATACATACATACATACATACATACATACCTCTGTATATATACACACGTATATTATTGTATGCGTGCTTATGTGTATTGCTATATTCAAAGGTTTATGTGTATGTGTATACATATATGTAAAAAACTGTATATATCTATCTGTATCTTGTACGTACGTATGTATGTACGTATGTGTGTTCCCGTGCATATGTATGTTTATTTATGTACACATGTATATATGTATGTATACAGATAGACAGATAGTTAGAGTATGTTAATGTGTGCCCATTGTATATGCATATATATATATATATGTAACATATGTAGCGCTATTCAGAGTATTCGATTAACGGCTGCATACATGCATACCTGGATGCTTACTTACCGAACTACCTATACCTACCTGCCGACCGACCGACGTACCTACATACACCAACGTCCGTACAGGGGGGTGGGGGGGTTCTTCTTCCTCATCTGGACCACACACGCGGATGGAGAATCGCTTGGCCATAAATTTAGCGGGCGAGGGGATGAACCGCAGACCGAGGGCCGCAGGAGAAGGAAGGATGTCCCATTCCACAGAGGGGGGGGGCGGCAGGAGGGAAACATATATCGTTATGCCTGTGTAACTGCTTCTAAACTGAACCATGGGGGGGGCTGGGGGAGGGGGGGGGGGCCCGCCGGGGCGCAACCATATATACACACATTCGTATGTGCATATGTATATGTATATGTACATGTACATGTTTCTGTATATGTGTATGTGCACATGCATGTGTATGTGCACATGTACACTGCTTGTTCCTGTGCATGTTTGTCTTAAGGTGTACGTATATGTATTTGTTGTACATGTACATGTGTATGAAACCTCTAACTTGTACGTGTATGTTCATGCGTATATGTATATGTATATGCATGTATGTATGCATTGTGATTATTTAAAAACCTACAAACATGTAGATGTGTTCTAATAAACATGTGAGCATATACATACACATTTAACGAAAGATAACATCAGCAGGCATATAACGTGCTTTACTTGGTCTTTATTGCCTCAATAACTTTCAATTCTCTAGTTGCTGGTTGGCTTCTATACACACATCCAAATTTTGTTCGCGAGCTCGATGTGATGCAGTGCAACTGATGAGACTGCCATGCATCAAAACAACCACCGGCTGACTATGCGGGAGGCGGAATCTGCCCCGGTGACCACTTTAACCCCCCCCCACCCACCCCCACCCACCCAGCCACCCGCACACCCGGCCCACCAGCGCGCCCGCACGTGCGCCCACCCGCTCACTCCACCACACATCCCACACTCCCACAGCCACATCCACAGCCACACAGCTACACGTTCGTTCGTGTAGGAAGTCCTGGAAACTTGGCAATATAGCCCGTACAAGAAGTGCTCTGGTCTGCAGCATGCGACATGGTTTCAGAGTTGTTGTGCCCTGCACTCGTTGTCCTTCTGCACCTCTCTCTTTCGCTCACTGTCCATTCGCATCTGCTGAAGCTTGTGTACATCTACCCATGGCTGCTAGCTCCAACACTGCCTGGGCGATGTGCTAACGGCCCTGCCTCATGAAGTGAACCCGCGAGGACCGATGCGGCTGCGGCATCTCGGGCCAGCTTGCCGTGGACATCCTGCGCCGACTGCTGTCAACTGCTGCGTATACAGTTTGAAAGCATACTGCAGGGCAATGGTGCTTGACTGCAATTTCTGGGCATGGGTCGACCAGGTCACAGCAGCTGATGGCTCGAGCACAATTGGCCATCCCACTCATAAATATACTGCCGTTCGCACTGTCATTTTCTATAGGCAACCTTAACATGGGCTTATGTCACTGTGGGGATGCCACTCTGAGCACATCGCACTGCCGGAGCCGGCTGCTGGCTGTATGACCTGACCGCAGAAACGTCCCGCATGGGTGCATATATATATATATATATATATTTTTTTTTTTACATATGTACATACACATAGCTTGTAAGTTGATACCTATCCATGCATGCATGCATCCATCCACCCATGCATCCATTACTACTACTACTACTACTACTACTACTACTACTACTACCAGTACTACTATTATGACTAATACTAATTTTATTGTGGCGATGCGCAAAAAAACAACTGTTGCTCTCGTTCCCTTGTCTATTGTTGCGGGAGCGCATTTGTTTTGTTGCTGTCCTTCCCGTGGCGCCTTTGTTTTGCTGTCGTTGCATTGTTGCCTGTGTTTTTATGCTGTCGTCCCCGAGGCACGCTTATTTTGTGCTGCCGTCCCCGGGGCGCGTTATCTGTTTGCTGTCGTCCCGAGGGGCATTTGTGTTTTTGTTGTCGTTGCAGGGGCGCTTTTTTTCTCTGTCGTTGCGGGGGCGCGTTTGTTTTTGTTTTGCTGTCGTGCCGGGGGCCGGGGTTCACTCACTCACTGGCTTCCTGCTGGGTTCGTGCACAGACAACAAATTCGACATAAAGCAACTACACAAAAACACAAAAGCGGCTTCCGCATACCTAATCATTCGTGAACAGTCAAGGTATGTGCCTATAATCTATATATATATACACACATACATAGTTGTACATATTTTGGTAGATATAAGTGTACATACGCATATACATTTACATTTGCCTTTGCCTTTACACCTTTAACTATACACTAACTTTGGCCGTACCTGATCGTGCCTACAAGACATATACAACACATACATATATACATATAGAACAGATGCATGCACAGACATACGTTTGTACATACATGCATACATGCACAAACACTACCTACTTGCCTACCAGTGTGGTATACATACCTACGTACGGTGAACCAGTATGTTAAGAAATATTATCAAAAAAAACGTGTGAGAGTCTCGCCCGGCATCGGGTTAGGGTTTACAGGGCCCTAAACCCAATAAACCATACGAGCTGAAAAGCGTAGGATTTGCAGCTTCCTAGCCCGGGCGCTCCGGGTCTAAAGATTTGTGCAAGAAATCGGCGAGAGTTTCGGAAATCGCCCGAAGGCAAATAGTGGAGGGGTGAAGAATTGGTACGGAAGCAAAGTGCACAAAAGGCCAGATCACCCACAGGAGTTGACATTGAAAAGCGCAAGATTTGCAGACTTCATGGCCTGAAAACTTCAAATCGCGCTCTTCAACTCGGGGCAGGGAGCATAGGAAAGCGAGGGCAAGGGCACCCACACGAGTTGAAAAGCCCAAGATTGGAGAGTTCATGGCCTGAAAACTTCAAATCTTACGCAGGTCACCGGCCCACAGCCTTTGGGAGGCTTTCGGATTCCTAGGTTCCGAATAAGAAAGATATCCCACATTAAGAAATGCGTGAGACTCGGGTGAAGGAATGCCTAATGTGGTTTTCCAAACATAAAGTTCGACGGTACCCTAGGTATGTGCACAATCGAACAAACAAGCCAACAGAAAAACAAACAAACAAGCATACATACATACATGCATACATACCTACACACCTATATGAGTACGTCAACGTATCAGTTCCCGCCGAGTGGCGAGGAGACCGAAATTCATACTCACTGACAAATGGTTTGGGAACACCGACGACATGTAGCATTTTCTAAATGGCAGCGGATGCACGCACGAACTTTTCAAGATGCCACAACACCTTCTGCACAAAGCACCGTGAATTGTGTAGTGATCCCTTCATTACCTTCTTGTGCTGTCCGTGAAATTCGGGAAACACAATCTGCTCTGCTGATGCAGGAAGTCCTTTCGAGTTTCTTTCGACCCGTTATCGACAGGAATCACAGAACATGCGTACCGAAGATTGTCGAGTCGAGCGGTGATGCTGTCACGAGCTCAGCGCAACCGCTTTATGGCGGACCAGAAACGCAGAAACCCATCAGCCTCAGCATCTCGCGAAAGAAGCTAAGTTTGATGCTCGGACGTCGTTTTCGATGACAAAGAGTCCACCTCGACCTTAGCCCAAGGCTTCTGAAGGACGGACACCCACTGCCCGGTGTTTGCCGTTCAGCGCTCGTGTTCACCAGAAACTCAGGTGTTGCTCTTTAATTTTCTGTGTACCGGATTGACGCTGTCGCCTATTAGTGACGCTTTAACTCCGAGGGAGTCTGCGCAATGTCGGACCCAGGCTTATAAGCGCATGCCTACATGTCCAAAGCCCTCCCGACAGTGGCGACTTCAGCAGGTCTCCGCCAATTTCCCGCCCATTTGGCTGGCTATAGATCTCTGAGTACAGTTCTGCGACACCTCTTCTTTCAGACCCGAAATCACGAACCCCTATGGCGCTTCAAACCTTGCTCGGTCCCTATCTGTGTAATCAACCTGATACCCAGTCCCCAAAAAAACGAAACATTGAACCGTCGGCTTTCCCTGAAGCGCCGCCCGCCTCCGAGCCTGAACAAACACACCTTTCAGGCCCGGCATTCAAAAGTACCAATCTATACAGCAATGCCCTTTCGAGGTACCGCCTCACCACAATCCTCACACGGTGCATCTCGAGCCGAGGTGTCGTGGACGGAGAAATCCTCCGACCTTCCATCTGAGGTTTCAGGGCCCTACAACGGCCTTGGGAGCCAATGGGGCTTGGGAACTTCGCTTCTGGATCAGTGCGTGGGGTTGTCTAGCATCAGTGCTCAAAAACCCGTACTACGAGAATATGGATTACGGCATATGGACGTGCTTCCGGGCTGTTGTCTGGGAAGGCGCCTTCGGCGCCTTCCTTTGGCCTTGTCCGTCCTCGTGATGGTCAACGTCATTGTCTGCAAGTTCTTGTTGTTGTCTGGGATTTCTGGACTATCTTGTCGACAGCCGATTGAAAAAGGCCTAGGGCCTCTGAGTTAAGCGGAAACCGAGTCACAGCAGCCGCGTTGGCAAAGGATGCTGCGCCTCATCGCCACAAGGAAGTGCCCCAAGCATGTTGTGAAGGTGGGCTTCAGGCCGTGATCAATCTAGCTGGAAAACCTAGCCGAGCACATACGGCGAGCAGACGACAACGAACTGGAGAAATGTCGTATTTCAATATGCACAGTGGCCGTACTGAGTGGGAAACTGGCAAATGTTGGAACGCGATCGGCATCAAAGTTGTGCTGATTGCTTTACGACGCTCAGCTCAAGATTTGGATATCTCGAGGATCCTCATTGAGGGTGAGGGCATGGCCTTAATGGCATCCTGACTGGCGATTAGTGCAGGACACTGGGACCATGCCTACACTGTATGCCGTATGCCCAACGGAATGTTCCGACTCAAAGGCAGGACTCAAAGGCAGGACTCAAACGCAGAATACACAGCACCGAAGTCTGACTTCTTGGCTATTCGGCTCAGAACTCAAAGGCCCCTCACACACCTCGCCCACCCCTCGCTTGAAGCAGGCCAAGCCAACTCTACAAGGCTCCACAGACAGGCACTAACAGCTATACGCCCGCCGGCAATTCAAATGCTGGCTTACTCCAGAATCTAAAAACCTTCTATAGGGCGATGTCAGGTCGTTCTAAGGCGAGCCTGTTGGGCCACCAGGCGACGATGCCACGCCCAGATTGGCACCTGTTGCGGCAGGAGAACTCTCTGACTCTGACTCGTGTTCGCGTTTAATGATCTTGAAGAGGTTATATACTACACAAAGTATGTCTGGAGGAGTCCTTTGGATCGCTTTGGGCTGGGGGTGTCGTTCCTTTTTGGATGCAGATCTAGAGTTTCTTCGAGGCTGGCCGGCAAGTATGATCGTGTGCATGCAAGGTCGAGCACCACAGCTTGCGGCATCCGGGACGGTTCGAGCAATTTGCCCATCGGGCAGATTTGGATTCAGTGACCCGTCTGAGCCTTCTGTCAAACATTGAAGGCCATAGTCGAGTGCTGAACCATTCAGAAGACAGGTCCACTGGTCAGCTGCAGCGTTGTGCTGGCACTTCAAGTACGAAAAGGTGAGCATGGTGATGCTGAGGAGGACCTGTAGCTTAATGTCCCAAGAGGATAACTCAGCCTGAAACCGATAAACAAACAATGGTAGCAGAACCACAACACACAAGACAATGAATGCCAATGGCAACAATATCATGATCGTCACACAAGCGAATCACGGACATAGTATGGACAACATGGCAATAAGCACGTTTCCACTCATATGACCGCAGTCGAGCTCGAATTGCCAGTTTTCGAGAGCACAGAAGAAACCCGATTGACGATTGAGCCTGCAGTTCTCGGGTGCACTGTTCCGGAAGCGAGAAGAAGTGAAACCTCGGGCTTGTTTCATCAGCGGTTTCAGCAAGGATCAACGATTCAACGAAGTACAGCTTAATTCTTCAATACCCTTCTAGGCTCTCGGTTCAAGCAATCTGCCCTGTTCGAGCAGATTGAACTCCACTCGGGCGAATTAAGCAGTTGTATTGCAAGGGTAGCAATTAGTTGTTGTTGTCGTCGCCCCGCTCGTCGTAGAGGTAGTGGTAGTGGCAGTCGCAGTGGTAGTGGCAGCGCTACCGGTGGTAGTGGTGGTGGTCGGTGTGGCGATGGTAGTAGTCGTCGTGTCGTCGTAGTATATTAATAGTAATAGTAGTCGTAGTAGTAGTAGTAGTAGTAGTAGTAGTAGCAGTAGTCGTGGTAGTAGTAGTAGTAGTCGTCGTCGTCGTAGTAGTAGTCGTAGTAGTAGTAGTAGTAGTAGTAGTCGTCGT